CGTACGGGTTGAACAGTCAACACTAGATGCACGGAAGTCTTTTTCCATCTCGTTACGAGTACGAATTTAACATGAAGTCTAGCTTTGAATGACACATCACAAAATAGTGCATAATTCACATAAATATTTCCTTTTTTTTCGTTTTCTGCCTCTTTTCTTCAATTATGCTTCCTCCTCAGAAGCTATTTAAGATGATTAATAGTGTGTCTCTCAACGTATACTGAACTCTAATATAACGCCATCTAGCAACATAATATGTTACGTTGACAGTTCCGAACCTCACCTGCTGAGATGCAGTTGACAGTTTAGAACCACAAAGGCAAAACCGCCGCCGTTGCCATTGAAGTTTTTCCCAAATCAACATGAACGGTTGATTTGGGAGGAAAAAAGAAGCTGTATACAGCTTTATCCTGGGTCTCTGATCGGAAGTTATTGTTATCTAAATCTTATGTCGTACTAAATCACGGATTTCTCTTCGACACTGTGAAGTAAAGAGCTCATATTTTTTTCATGATGACTACGCACTGACTATTATTTAAGTCAAAACTGTGAACCTCATTCGGAAAATTTCTCACTTTCCAAATGAGGATAACTTGTTGTTCTGTTCTAACATACATAGGAACACAGAAAAACGTTGGAATAAAAGAAGAGAAAGTTCAACGAGATTTAGTTTTGGGTTTGAGATGAAAGAAAAAGAGGATAGAAAATTAGCACGGTTTCCTCATTAACGAATTTATTGGTAGCAAATGAATGTCCAATGATTTAAACTCTTGTTAACTACGAGTTGTACATATAATGTAAATCGATTTTGCACATATTCTGAGGAGCTGTATGTGTCTTCGACAGCCCTAGTGGTCCCACCTCATTTAACTTATACATCGTCTTTTCTAAATTTTAATTATAGAATAAAATCCTTGTGACACTTGCGAAAAGACGTTAGCACTCCTTCCGCGTCGTAAATGGCAAAAATTGTTGCAATTGCTGGAGGTACCGGTCATTTTGGCTTACATATTACACATGCCTGTCTGAAGACATCGTTTCGCGAGGTGCGTGTATTGAGTAGGAATAAAAATGACGATGCAACTAAAAACCTCGAAGCAGATGGTGCGAAGATATTTCAAGTATCATATGACGATATTTCATCTATCAAGTCTGCTTTGAAGAATGTAGATGTAGTCATTAGTGCACTCGGGACTCAAATGTTCGAAGAGAAGACAAATGTACTCAAGGCGGCTGCAGAAAGCAATGTTAGCGTCTACTTTCCAGCCGAATTTGGTATAGACGAGCGGCTGAATGATTTCTCGAATGCTGTATGGGATAAAAAGAAAGAACATCAAGAGAATGCTCGTCATTCAATCAAAAAAGTATGCGCAGTCTACATCCCATTCTTTACGGAAGACTCATTTGGTAAATGGTTTGGAATTTTCACAAAAAAAGATATTTATGTGAATTATGCACTATTTTGTGATGTGTCATTCAAAGCTAGACTTCATGTTAAATTCGTACTCGTAACGAGATGGAAAAAGACTTCCGTGCATCTAGTGTTGACTGTTCAACCCGTACG